GCGCTGGGGCATTACCACCCCCCCCCCCCTCCCCCTTTGGTGCACGTGCTGGATTTGTGCGGCCCACTGTTCCAAGTTTTTCTCCTGCGGGTTTCTGCGCAACTTGTGAAGACATGTTAGGGTCCAAAGGTGTCCCTTCTGCCCAAAATCAAGGTGTCCCTTCTGCCCAAGATCAAAGCTACTATTTGCCCAAAGGTGTCCTTTCTGCCCAACATAAAGCTATGTTCAACATTCGCAAGCTCCCTGGGAGCCCGAATTTGTCTCCCCAAGCGGCACCTGGTGATTGATCCTCCCTTTCCACTGCTCTCCGTCAGGACATGGACGCCACCCGGAAGAACTACGACGGGCAGCTGGCCCGGGCCCAAGAGCTGGGCCCGAGAGGAGGCCCAAGGCGGAGATCCGTAGGGGAAGAGGACATCCACGCGGGAAGTGAGAAGCAGAAGCCAAGCGGGGTTTTTGAGTAGTGCCCTGAAAACTTCTTTGTTTTTAGGTTGGGAGGGTTGGCCTACTAAAATACACATCCTGAAAAAAATTGGTACCCTTATTGTAACCTCGCAAATGTGTCCCTGGTGGCCTGCGGGGGAACGACGAGTGAAGTGTGTCCCGTTGGACGTTTGGTTCAACCAGCGAATGTATCAGAAGCTCAACCAGTTCCCGCGATGACGCTGGAATCTTCTGGCCTAGGAAACCTGGATATGCAAACGGACAGCCATTTTTTTCTTTTTCCGGTGATTGTGTTGCAAACCATCCATAAAAGGTGAAGGGGTATGGAACCCAACAAGGCCGGGGTGTGGGGCCTAGCACATAGAAATCTCTTTGAAGCCATACGGATACCTTTTGTGGGTTCCATATTTTTGGATACTTGGAGTTGGATACACCATTTGGTCAACCCAGCCTGCTGTTTTCGGCCAATCAGCCTCGATCGTCAGTTCACGAACGCTCAATGGATGAACTGGCCAACATTTTCAGACCTCCAAAAGGACACACGCACTTGTTTCTCATTTTTGGGCGGATGTGCCGTTCAGATGAAGAGCTGAAAAAGGTGTCCTTTCTTTACCTGGCCACAGCCAGTAGGATTCTCCAGGAGGCTGCGAGAGGCAGTGGAAGTGGTTGGATCATTTGTTGTTTCTGTGAACTTCTACCATTCGAGCGAAGGGACTTACGATCCATCCGCTTGAATGGAACCGTGGTTGCCAAGAAAGACATCGTTCAAACAATCCAGCGCTCGTTTTAGCGGCTGCGTGTTGTCAGGTTCCAGGCTCTTGGAGGGTGCTGTGTGCTTCTAGCTTCGATTCCGGAATGTGCAGGGCATGCTCACCGAGCACATTTGCGCGCGGCCCTCGGTCCGTGTGGTGTACGTCGAGTCAGTAGAGAGGTGACCAACGACTTGCTTGGCCGACATTTTTGTTCCCCACACAATCGCCAGTTGCGATCGTTGTTTGTGTTTGTTTTTCCATGCACTTTACCCCAACAACCAGCAACAGTGACCAAAAATTCAGCAACTTGGCGATCCAGGGAAACTGCTGATGGATGACTAGATGTTTTGGGGATACCGGTCTGTACTGGATTTCCAAATGCCGAGGTCGACCGCTGAAAATAAATCCGACTTAACTGAACACCACTGTTTCAGCACGCCTTGGCTCTTGCATTTTAGATGCATGGCCAAAAAGAGCAGACCTTGGCACGGGCATTAAACCCCAATCAAGTTTCACCGAAAGACAAGTGTTGGCCGCGTTGGCTCTGATTCTAGAGTCTGTATGTTATCTTGAGCCGACTATTGAACATGCACCAAATGCCTTTGGCCCACTACACCGTTGTGATGTTTGTACAAACATGTGCACATGAGTAGTTGTCCTGATCCTCACAATTGTCCCGGATCAAGGCTAGATCTCGACACGCGGACATTTCCTCAAGTGCACAGTCGATTCAAGACAAATTGCACAAGCCTACTCTCACAACCCTCTCCTGCTTTGTGCTGAAACCGGCAAGCGCAACATGCATTTAATCAAACGTATGTGTGGGTTGGCTCTGCATTTCAAGACGCGATGTCACAGAAGCCAAAGGTTAGCAGAGCATTTGATTGATTTGTTCCATGATATTGAGCGTACCTTGGGACTATCATGCTATGAATTCCCAGGAGGGCGTGTTGCTGCATTTGAGCAACTCCACCGCAGCGCCGACCCGCTGGCACAGACCGGGATGGCTTAGCTCTATGGTTAGAATCAGGTTGACCTTCATTGTTGGTTTGGATTGGTGGTTTGGGGATCTGAACCATCTTGTGGATAGTAAGTGGGCAGCCACCCAACCTGCATACCACCAGGCTCCAAGCCGCCAACAAGAAGGAAGCTGTTAGGGTTAAATAGGGGGCCCCGAAAAGCGACGGTTTTCCTTTTGGTTTCCCTTCAAAGCCATCAAACACGGTGGTTTGCTCCAAAGATGGACGCCCGAACTCGCCTCAGTGGAACACCTGGTCGAAGCAGTCCAGGGCCTCTCCGCGCGACTCTCCGAGAAGGACGCCGGCCTGGCGTCCTTGCAGGCGACCGTCAGATCGTTGGAACGGAAGTTCTCGGGATGAGGGAAGGGGTCCCTGAATTTCTCACTCATAAAACTGGGTGAAGTAATAAACGACCTCACAGGACCTCACCCCAAATGGTGGTTTATGCCCCAACCACCTTATTCAGCCTGGTGAAATATTGTAATCCACGTAGATAAATGTTACAACAACCTGTAGGTCTTGCAAAAAGTATCACTGAGCTTGTCTGGTACATGTATAAAGCTGATAAACCGATGCCCTCCCACCACTGGACCATTTTCCTGTTGAAGGGATCGCCTGTCAGGTTCCAAGGGTGGGAGGGTACTGTAGTTGGGAACCTGTAAGTCTTGCAAATAATATCAGTGAACTCGCCTGGTAAATCTAGAATAATGTACAAGACACACAACAACTCAGTACAACATAACTACTATGTAGTATATGCTGTTCCCTTTAAAACCAACACGAGGGTTCCACAAGACACCCGTTTGGGTGTGTCTCAAGATACGGGCCTAGATGGTTGGTGTCCTTTTGGCGTCACTTGAAATACCAAGCAACAAAGGGTATCCAGTTTGCAAACCCCGTTCCACTTGGGAGAATCGGCGCTCATCCGTTGAGAGGGGAGACCTTCAACTTGCTGTTGCCAGGTTTCTTCATCGTGTTAGGGAAGCTGGCAACAACACGCCTGCCAACATTTTGTCAAAGAAACTGCTTAGCCTCCGGCCAAGTTTCTGTAGCCAGTCAGCCCAACAGGTCTGGAAAGCCACATGGGCACCCTCTCACCATGAAACCCAGAAGAGGGTCACTTTGAGGAAAAAGAGACTGTTCTTCCAGGGACCTCCAGCCAGATTCCATATTTGTTTCTTGAAGGCGTCGTGTTTTGGAGGGGCGAAATCAGTTACCTTTTTGTTTCAAACGACAGGTTTGGCAGGTTTTAAGTGGTATCAAATCAATCCACCCCCCGGTGCCCTCCCTGTGACAGCTGTGACAGAGTCTATTTCGACAGCTGTGACAGGCCGAAGCCTGAAGCAAGGAAGAAGACAAGACACAAGCCAGGCAGATTACTCCCAGGCCGCTGATTTTTCAGAGCCAGGTTTGCGAGCGCTCCAAGCAAATTGGACAAGTTACGCCGCTTTTTCCCGGAGCTTTCGTTTTGCGTAGCCGGCGGGTGCTCAAAGCATGTGGTGGCTTGGATGTTTCGTGCTGTTTGTCTGACACAAGGTTCACTTACTCCTCTAGCATTTGCGGGCGGCTCGCACAGGAAAAAGCGTTCGGCTGCTGAAGCTAGTGTGGACAAAGCTGGATTCGCTTTGCCCAGCCACAGGACGCGAGATGAGGAAGATTAAGCGCTTTCTTTTGCACGCGGCCACCTGTGAACTTGTCGGGCAAGCGGCGCCCGCCTCGCACTCGGGAGCTAAAGGAAGGCACAGACTGGGAGACTCCGCATTGGAGACAAATGGGCGCCTACGCTTGCCTGAGTGCAGCCCAGGAGCTGGCGGGCATGAGCGAAAGCACAGACTGGGAGACAAGTACTGGCGAGCGTGCGGCCTGGCGATCCGCGAGCTCTTGGAGACAAATGGAGGCACAGACTGGGGACAAGTAAATGCGGACGCACAAAAACCATCGGTTCGGCGATCTGAGGGCATGCCTCACGAGCCTGCAAGAAGCAAATGTTGGTTTCCATTTTGGCTCTTCGAAAAACATGTTGGTTTCCTTGTTGGCCATTCACAACCAGAAAGGGGTCCACCAATTTGAGAAACCCCGGTTTGTCCTGGAGGCCAACAAGATGTTGTGCGGGCGCTGCGGCATGTGGAACTCCATGGGGCCCGCAGCTCAGCGGACTGGAGCCACCCCTGACCCCCTGGGCCTTAATGTGGTCTGTGGATGCATCCGATTTCCACTTCAAGCTAATGCTGCGGACTGGGGTGGTTGCGCGGAAGTAAGGAAACGACATGCTTTAGAATGGAGCCCCTGTGTATGGAAGTTGAAGTTGCTGGCTTTTCGATTGGCAAAGATTGCGCCAGAAGCCAAACCTGCAAAATGGTTGTTGGTCTGCCTTAGGATCTTGACTCAGGGAAAAGAAACTGAGCAAACGTCAAAAGTCAAAACGTGAACCGTGGGTTGATCCGCTTGTGGCGCAGCCAATTGCAGGTCCGAGCCATGGCTTGATTCCGTCACTGAAGATGAAACCACCTTGAGCGCAGATCAGTTTGCAGCACTGGACTGGCAGGCACCTGAGAACCGCAAATCAGCGTTGCCGCTGACCTTGGTTTCTGAAATTAGCTTGGTGTTCTTATTATGAAACCAAACTTTCTCTCAACGACTCGTACAACACGCGAACCTGCGTTTGGGGCTCCAATGAACAATGCGGGACCACCACGGAGCAACCGCTTAAACGCCCTCAAACCCAGCCCCGAGTTTACTCTTGAGCACCTAAGCAAAAGGGCCATGAGGCCATGGAGCTACCGTGGAACAAATCTTACTTCGAACCTTGACTCTGCCATGGCGCGGGTGGGCCGCGTGGCGCGTGCGCTGACGCTGGGGTTCGCAGTTGCGCTGGCGCTGCATCGTGCGTTCGCCAGGAGAAACTCACAGAGTCTGATCTGTTAAAGGGTGTTTAAAGGAAACCCGAAGATTCTGTGTGTCAAAGGCTTCCTGTTCAGCCGCAAGGGTTCTTAAAGTTCAAAATGTGTTTTTGCCAAGGGGGAGTGCAGTAGTTTTGAATGACTTGTGTGTCTGAACAACACTGCCTCTTGGACTCCAACCATTTGCATGGTTGAGTGGCCTGACGTTAGCTTTGTGGCTGGAGGGTCTGACATGGTCTGACGGAGAACAGGCAGCAAAGGCTGCAACCATTGCCAGCAGGGCCCCGCTTTGGTTGGAGGGGAGGGCAGGCATCCCTTCGTTTGTGCAAAGTGCAATTTCCTTGCCCGAGCATGCAGGGTTAGGAGAGGACCTGTTTTTAACATTTGGCCCGGAGGTTAGCCAAATGTTCAGAATCCTACTTAGAGGCTACTTGACGCTTCGCTAACTCGCTCAGCTAAGAGTTGCTGTTCGTTCCCAGGCAATCTGATAGACGCATGGCCATGGCACTCTTGAATGAAATACCTGGTGTGACCCCTGGTAGGACGGGGCCAATCTGTTTGGGGGACGTCCGCGTTTGGAGAGCTCACATTGCGAGGAGTCCTGGAGGCCGCCTGCGACTGCAGGCAGTCCGCAACGTGCCGCGCCCCGGTCGATCCGGCTGTCAAACCGTGAAACCGTTCAACTGGCTGCGCGTTTGCCATCTGATTGGTGGCAAAACAACCATTTTAATGAGTCCCCTAAAAAGACACACCTAAGTAAGCACTTGGGTTGGGAGTGACTTTGAGAATGCTAGAAAAATCAGGAAACGGTAAGGCCATCTTTTTTTCCATGGTTCCAGTCGATTCTGATGAAACAATGCACAGGGCCCTGGCAAGAGGACCTCATTGGTAGGGCTTATGGACCAACATTCGCCGCGTTGCCTGTTTCCGTCACAGCATTGTTCCCATGTTGCACAAGTTGCGGCCATCACCCGCAACCCCCTTGGCCTCACCGCTATTGGGATATGCGTCCGACACCGGGGACATGGTGCAAATGAACCAAACAATTCAACACAAAGAGAGGTGACTGAATTGTTTGTGAAATTTTCACGCAACCGCACAGCCATGTCTGAAGTCGCGGGTCTCCGATGGCAGGTTCAATCTACATATGTCTCTTGACCTGATTGTTTCTTTGGGGATTTCTCGAAGTTCCTTTCGTTTTCTCTAATCTGCTTCGGTTTCGATTGGGCTTGTCAAATGGTTCCCCTGCTCAGACCGAAGTTTGGCAATGGACCAGCTTGACCCACGGGAAAACTGCAAGCCTCAAAATACGCAGAACAATGCGACCAGGGGCCCCTGTTCTGAAATTCCCTCTGTTTGAGCGTAACACAAGTTAAGCTCAAGAAAGCCAAAAGAATCACAATTAACTCAACAAAAACAAGAAGCAGCAAAAATACCTTGAGAAACCCCGCATGGTTCGGACACTCTTTGAACACAGCTCAGGCTCATGCTGAAAAAGTTCTGAACACATTTTTGTGTTTGTGTTTTCCTGAGGTGTCCGTTAGTTGTCCTGCCCTCGTGTTCCTTCCTTGTCCCCTGGGGTTTATCGAATTGCGCTTGGTCTTTTGTGGTGTATCCGTTTCAGGGGCAGGAGATTGAGAAGAATCAAGTAGCTTGTTTTCCTCTTAAGATCAGGTCATATTATACGAGAATTCGACTTAAAGCCCCACTTGGAGTTCAAAATCAAATTCAATTGAGAATTGTATTTAACTCCTACTAAACATCAAACTAAGTTTGAACATTCTCTGTAACGCAACTACAAGACGTATCATGCTTCTCTTTCCTAGCCAGATTCTGTTTAAACTACAATTGACATCTGATTAAATTCCTGCATACTTGGAAAGGAATTCGTTATAGTTTAATGACTTGGAAGAAACAACCAGGGTGTCATTCCTTACTCGATTCTAGCTAAACTGTGAATAGCTAGATTAGAATCAAGCGCTAATCAAACTCTTACTTGAAAAGACATTCCCTGAGTTTAATTCGAAGGAATACAGGTTTTAAGTGGGATTCGGCATAATAAATGTGCTACAACTATAATTGAAATCACGTGTGGAAGGAACATGAATCAAAATAAGATTTCCAATTGAATCCTTTCAGAATCCTAGTTGGAAGGGACGTACTATGTAAAACCTATATCTGAAAGTGTGCAACAGTGCACATGCGCATGGTTTGTGACCTGCACGCCAGGGCATTCAGGCCCAACAGTTCAATCCAACTGTCAGGAAAAGGGATCCCTTTAGGCTGCGCCGCATGGTTTGAGAACGGACAAGTCAGCATTGGTAGCGAGGAGCAGACGGCTCAGGGCTCGACAGCAAGGAGGTAAAGGAGCTCTATGGCAAGAGCGTGGGCCCCCAGAGGCGCAGATGCAAGAGAAGATGCTGAGGACAGGCGAGCTGGGGTCGCGGCGCCAGCCGAGGACGCCTCGACCACCGCCGCCACCTCGACGACGGCCTCCGCCAGGTCGCCGAACCGCTCGATTGAATGAGGGGGCTGTGTCTGCGCGTCGAACTGGTTGCCAACACCGGAGAGCAGCGCCAGCTCCTCAGCCTCCCCCCAGCTTCGGAGCCGGAGATGCTGAGTTGGATGCTGATCGCGACAAATTCAGCGCGAGAAGTTCAGCGTGTGGAGCAGACTGGAGCTCAGAGCCAGATTCTACATTATGCATGTGTCGCGAGAAGGGTTTCGGTAATCCCGATGGACGAGGGCGGCCCCATAGGAACTCCGTCCCCCAAAAGGCTTCAAGCCAATCAGAAAAAAGAGTTCCAAGTGGCCAGATCTTTTAGGACGTTGTTCCATCTGGCCCCGACTCATTTTGCGTCACACCCACCTTCTTGCTTTTCTTTGTTCGGCTCAGGATTGAGCCCAATACTGGAAACTGTGCAAGGCCGGAGGAACCGGTGGGTGGTTTGCCACACGTCATTGTCGGACTCCGGCTCGATCGCTCTTCGTGTCGCCACTCTCAACCTCGTCCGTGTCGTGCACCATGTTGTTCCGACTCCAAGGTAGAGCCACGCCTTCACCATGGTCAGGAGCTCGCACTTCACTTTTTGAAGACAAAGCACAAGCTGCTGAAATCCCAGACTGGCTGGCCGTTTCCTCCACAAACAGGTGGTTTTCAGGTTCCATGTCTATTTGTGGGAGTGTGTACGCTACGAAGCCTACGGCCTACCGGGACGCCAAGTCGAAGCACAGGTCGGATGTGGAGCCGACATGGAGGCCATCAAGAAGAGAAGGGAAGAGCGGCTGCGGCTGGCCAAGGAGAGAAGCTCCTGCTCGGCGTGCAAACGCCGGGGTTGCTGGCATCGCAATCCCAAGCGCCCGCTGGGGAGGCCCGGCAACAAGGAGAAGTCATGTGCTTCATGACGGGCGCGAACGGAGAGCCGTGCCATAAGGAGGAGAAGTTGGTCGCGGACCAAGAGCATGGCGGGCTACCAGTGGTTCGAGCAGTACTGCAAGATCACCGATGACGAGGGGATCCCGGTGGAGATCGTGGAGGAGAAGGATCAATCAAGTTTGGGGCACCCCCCATACACGTGTCGCAGCTTGCGGTCGTCGTCCAGTTCGCAGTCGCCGGGAAAAGGTTCAAGGTGAATGTGGCGATCGTACCATGCCAGGTCCCGTTTTTGTTCTTGAAGCATCGTCGAGGGCAAGATGGATCGTGCGCGCTCGGAGTGACAGGTCTGTTGGTGTGTAAGTTTGAGACCGGGCATCCTGCCCTGATAGTGGGCGAAGTCCATCAAGGAAGGAGCTCAGACGCTGGAGCACTCATAGCGTGTGAAGCACACATGGCGCATCCCGGACTCAGGTAAGAAGGTCGTCAAGGAGGCGGAGTTGATGTTGACATCCTTGGATATTGTCCCTACGCCTGGTGGAAAGCATGTCTGCAAGGCAGGGGAGGAGAAGCACGAGCACGTGGTGCCTCGGAAAAGGCATTTTCACCCTCTGAATTGGCGAAGAGATGTCGTTAGGGAAGAAGGATCCCCTGCATCATGAAGGGCCTCAACAAAGGAGCGGAAGAGATCATGAGTGACATGGTCCCTTTAGGCTGCGCCGCATGGTTTGAGAACGGACAAGTAAACAATATCAAAAACATAAGTGGAGTTGGAAGCGAAGCCCCATTCCAGCTTAATTAAAGGCTTGCACTTCAAAGCTTTGGACTTTGTATTTTTACTCATGCTTCACCCCTTTTCAGGTTTGCAAATTAGAAAAAGCAACACGCTTGTCTTTCCTTTTAGGTGCTTTTCAAAGTCTAGTTGACGTTCTGGTTGGAAAGGAAGTTCTACAGGACTTAGTTCTAGTTCAAAATACGACTTGAGTGAAAGGGTAGTACACATAGTGTAATTCAAGACTTGTCAACCAACAGCAGCAACTAGCAGCAGGCTTACAACAATCTATGTAGAGGACCGCGTTGAGGGGCTCAGAACATGCAGTCACAAGCACTCTTCAGCAAAGCAAGCGTACAACTCTCCGTGCACTAGCAGAGTTCCCCCAGTCTCATTTTGTTTGGGCTACTGCCCTGTTGAGAGACGAGCCCGATGACCTGACTCCAGGTTGCTTCTGAGTTGATGTGCCTTCACTTGTCAGACGGAGTGCCCACAAATTTTGGTCGAACTTCCACTTTGATCCTTGGGATTTGGCAAAGCCTGTTTGAAACAGGTAGAAACTCTTTGAAGAACGGGTCAACAGCGCACCCAGTTCAGTTTGCATGAGAGGCTACATATTTATAAACATGATTCTCCCATGTTGAGCCAAGTTAGTGTATTCAGACTACTCCACTCTATCCACAACAAACAACTTGCCCCTTTACCCTGGTCATAATTTCGCCCCTTTCCTCGTTTTGCTTTGGACCTCTCGCGTCTACCTCCTTTGGGGTCCCACGCCACGGGACCGCGGCACGGGCGGCCCCAAGGAAGTCCTTCTTCGACGCGGAGACTTTGGAGCAGCGGGAGATGCCATCCACCTTGTCCGACTCCGCGCGCCACGGCGGGGTTCGGCTGGGGGTTTCGGGGGGAACGAAACGGCGACACCAAGTACGGCTGTTGTGGTAGTCTGAGTGATTTTTGTTGTTGCTGTATATATATTTTTGTGTTTGTGTTTTTTCTTTCTTTCTGTAGCAGCCATCAAGCTGGAAGTGCCCATGAGTGTCACAAGCACTTAGCTGTTGTGCTTGCTTAGTTTCCATGTTACCCTGAAACCCGTTGTTCAAAGCTGCCTGCTACGGCGTTTGTTGGTTGTTTTTGGATGTTTTTTTTTGTGTCTGGTTCACGCACCATACTCAACCTCAACCTTTGGTGTTTACACTGTTGGGTGTGTCTGTTTGTTCGCAGCATTAGCCTTTGGTTACCCCCTTTCTTTGGTTTTATCACCTTGCCAAAGAAGCGCTTTTGCGCCCTTCCTGCATGCCGACCCTTCCATGTATGGTCCCATGTGGGAAAGTAATTACTACATACGTGGATTTTGGGCGACCTTTTGGAGTGAAAGAGATCGCCCTCAGGATTTCGCCGAACCGAGTCACCGTTGCGGCCTGGAGACGATAGGAACTGTTGGGTCGCCATTATCTATGTTAGGACTTTAACTTTTAGCCAACGAACGGGTTTTCCATTAAACCACTAAAAGTTAAACTTTTAGCAGGGGAGCAGAAAGCAACCGAGTACTGTCCACTACACTCAGCGACTCACCACCGCAGGAAGTGAATTTTCTTACCAAGGTCCATCGGCTTGGTGCCGCGTTTTCCAAAATGTCAGCCTCCTAGCCCTAGCCGAACAACACCCTTGTGTTTCTTGGCTACTGGCTGCCTAGCTTCCATTTGCTTAATAATATATTCACAATGTTCACACTACATATACATAATATTTATTTAGTTATTTGTTTATTTATTTGTTTATGTATGTATTTATTTAGTTGTATTAGTGCGCATATGTATATAGTTATATGTCGTAGTGTGCATACATATATATATATATATAGAGATATTAGTTTCTTTCCTCGTTTTGTTGCAAACGGGAATCTATCACCACAGGCCACCCGTTTTTCCGATTTTCCCCCGGGGACTTCAGCCGGGCCTTCGAGTTTCGGCTGAGGCGCAAGGCCATCGAGGCCACGGAGGTGGACCAAAACCCCCGGCTGGCGGTGCGGGAGATCTACTGCGCCAGGTCCACTGCCGGGGACCCCAAAACTCTAGGGGTTGATTCCCCATTCTTTTCAGCCATCGTTCATTTTCAAGAAAAAGCAGCCATTTCTGAGGGTTTTTGTTGGTTTTCCGGAAAGAAGGATTCCTGGAAAGAATGGGGAAGCTAAGCTACCCTAGAAAACCTGAAGTCGGAGTTGGAGTCGATGCGGCCGGCCGCCGTCTTCTTGGGCGATAAAAACGGCGTTGTTTTTTTTTTTTTTTGTGTGTTGTGTGCGTTTTCCGGGCCCATCCGGGCCCCGTGTTGTTTCTGGTGTTTTAGTGTTTTTCCTTTTTCGGTCCCGGGTGTTTGTGTGTCTTTCGTAGGTTTGTTTTGGTTTTCCTTCTCCCTTTGCTCGTTCTTCCGTTCGTAATGTCTTTCGTATGTGTTGGTTGCGTGTTTTTCTTGCATTTAATTTCTCTCTCTCTCTGTCTTTCTCGTTCTTTCTTTGGTCATGTCTATATGTTGATAATGCAAGTTGTTGTTTCTTCATGTGTTTGCGTGTTGTGTTTGTGTTTCCTTTCTTGTGTTCTTGCTTTTGATTGAATGTTTGTTTGTTTGTTTGTTTGTTTGTTTGTTTGTTTGTTTGGGTTTGTTTGGGTTTGTTTGGGTTTGTTTGTGGTGCTTTGAGTTATTTCCTAGTTTGTTTGTTTGTTTGTGTTGTTTCGTTTGCGTGTTGTTTTTTGTTCTTTATTTGTTTGCTTCTTTCTTTCGGTCTTCCTTTCTTTAGTTATGTCCTGAATTTCTTGCTTGATATGTTTGTTTTGTTTGTTTCTTTCTTTGTGTGTGTTTGTTTTGTTTCTTTGTTGTTTGCTTTGTGTCTGTTTTTGTTGGGTTGGTTGGTTGGTTATGCCTTGCAGGCCCTGCCAATCGAGTCAGACACGGCCTTTGTCAAGAACCGCTGGTAGCAGACATTGACATTTGCTTCTTTGTGTACCCATGACGTGGCTGTGGTTGTTAAAGATAGGAATATCAAAAATGGGACGCTGGTAAATGGAAACAACAGCTAAAATCTGTGGTCCCCTCGTGATTGAACTTTGACCCATACCCATGTATTTGATTGCGGGCCCGGCGGCCAGGGGTGTGGAGCCTGTCCAACGGGATCGCTTGACAACTGGATTTCTCTCCTTGTGGTTTTCCGTTTAACCCCGGTATCCTGTACACACAAAGAGACACCCACATCCGCCACATCGTAGTATGCATCCCGTACCGGTCCGGTGTTTTCCGTTGTTTCAACTGCCTCGTTTTAGTTTTCCGAAGAGGCTCCAAACACTGGTTCAAGAAATGAAGAAAGGTGCCAAACCTCACTCCCAGTAAGCTGGTGTTGACACCCCATGTTCAACAACAAATAGCTTGCCTGGTTTGCCTTCGATTCGGTTTGCATGAGGATCTCTCAACATAGGACTCGCCCCATTTCCCAGAAAAGTTTTTGTTGGTTTCTCTGTGGTCTTGTGGTTTCCCTTGAAATACCCTTTCCTAAAAACCAATAGTTTGTTGATTTCCTTGTGATCTCCCTTGAAATACCAAGAGGAAACGGCCCACTTGAGAAAAACAAATAATAGTAACTCAATTTTGGGTTTACTTGCGGTTTCCCTTGAAACAGCAAGAGGGAAATGGCCAAAACAAAAAACGCGGGCGAGGTGGGGTGAGCCGTTGGGGCTGTTCCTAAGAAACAGCTCGCGGGCGAGGTGCACGGCTGGGGCCTCTTCGCCGGCCGGGACTTCCAGAAGGGCGAGCTTCTGCACGAGAGCCCCGGGAGGCGCCCGGAGTCCGGGAGCGCGCGCCCGGAGAGCTCGCGCGGCGAGTTCGCGTGTGTGGACCCTGGGAAACCGGGGTAGATGAAGGTTAAGGGACAATCCCAACCATAACAATCGGTGCGGCCACCTTCTTAATTGTTTACATGGTTCTGGGTTTACTACCGGGTTTTCATTGTGACTCAATTGGGCACCGCTGTCCCGGGGCCATCGCGCCCTCTCAATTTCCCCGTGTTTTGCTTTTTGTTCTTTTGAGAAGGCATGGTGCCCTGGGGAAGGCTCGTGGACCCTCGAGCAATCCGAACCCCCACCAAAACTCTTGCTTGTCAGTGGTTTTTCAGGTTATAGTCCCGTCAACCCGGTTGTCGGTTAACTTTGAGCTACCTTACCACTGACTGGCTGAACATCCAAGCGAGTGCCACAGAGGGATCCACCAACGGATTTCGCTTTTCGCTTCCTCTACCCAAAGGCTCCTGGGGCTTTCAATGGAAGCCCCGAACCCTTCATTGGACACCCCGGGTTTGGTGTTTGGGACCCGGTCTCAAAACCTGGCTGTTTGAGGGCCCAAAAAACATCGAATTGGAGCTTCTGGGTGGAAGAATTATTTGAATTATTTGAATTATTTTAACTAGACAAGACCTCCACGCAGATCTTCTCGGAAATCGTGGCAATAGGCCCTAAATCAATCGAATTGGAGCCTCTGGGTCGGGCCCTTGTCTCAGGCTGATCGAGGGCCAGCCGTCGTGCATCACGGACGACGTCTTCGCCACCTCGGAGATCTTGTGGGAGGATGAGGCGAGAGATCCGTCAGGTCGGGGCTAGCCAAATGAGCACGAACTGGAATAGGGAATCCTCCGATAAACATCATTTGCATCATTAAAAAAAAAAAAAAAAAAACAAAAAACATGGCCAAATGAGTGTGTGTTTTTCATTCTTCCCTGCCTTTGCGGAAAGAAGGGGGGGTGTTTTGGATGGAGAACCCAAGATGGTCTCCTGTTTTAACATGGCCAAATAGCTGACAGACCTCAGGAATCGGTCAAAGGGTAATTTCAGTGCCACACTTCACTAAGCAGTTTCTCCTTTGAACCCCCGGGGTTTTCTTTTTGTACCAAAACAGTGGAGGAGGTATCGCAGGGGTCTAAGTGACCTGGCCAAGGTCAGAATCCCCAATCACACGAATCAGGTGTGTTAGTTGAGGGTTAAGCCATGGTTATGCTAATCATACAAACCGCTTAATCAGCCAACTCCTCCCTGTCTAGGTTCAGGACACCCGCTGTCGACTCGAAGTCAGATCGTATCCGATCGGATGAGGTGTGGGCGTCACCGCAAGCAAGACTCCCCACCACATATATGTGCAGCAATTTTGCAGGGGAGTCTCAGTGTTGCTGTTTATTTTTGAATACATGTTTTGGGCTTCTTTGCACCCCGCGTTTCTCAACTCACCCGTCATTTTTCGAATTTGCAGGTGTTTGGGGAAGCGTCAGTTGGGTTGCCAAAACGGCGGCCCTTTCTGGAAATTCCGTTTCACATCGCAAGAAGACAAAGTCCAATCAGGGGGGGGCCAAATCGGCCAGAGCAGCACCTGTAGGGGGGGGTCTATGTGTCTTGAAGAGATTGTAGCAAGTGAGGCCTGTAAAACCCTTTCATGATTGGAACACATGTTCAAAAGGCAAACACGCAGTGAAGGGGCGCATGGCCAATTGCTTGGCCACATCTTTGGAAGACTTGCAGCTTGGGTGTCAGGTACTGTACGGAGGGGTTTTGAGAAGCATATGGTGGATGTAAACTTTTAGGTTTACAGGTGTCCCAACTCAGTGCAGTGCAAGTCATAAGGGAAAGAGTGTAACTTTGGTGCATTTTGCTTTGATGTCTGGACTTTAACTTTTGGCCAACTGATGGGGTTTCCATTAAACCACTAAAAGCTAAACTTTTTGCAGTAAGGTTGCATTGGTTCCTGTCATCACTCCAAGTGCCTTCGCTGGGTTCTGACAGCAGGCTTTGCCTTTCAGATCCAATCACCCATTGCTTTACCATGGTAGCCTTAGGGGCGGGGTGTGCCAAGTAAAGTCTTGGCAAGTTCTTGGATGAGACACTTGGTATTATCAACGCACCGGAGCCCAATCTGTGTTTTTTGGGTTGCTTGGTCGTGCAGGTCCTCGTTTTTACATCGCGGATTTGGTGGTGGTCTCTCGAGATTCACCCCGCACTCAGGCCAAGAACTACTCGATCTTGGGCCTGGGCTTTGCATCCTTGCACAACCACGCGGAGGCTGGCCCATGGGTCTGTCCTTTTTTGTGGGCGTCCCCCTTTTTGTCTCTCTCTCGAAGCCAAAGGCAGCCACCACTTTTTTGTTTCTCCTTCGTGGAAAGATATACCTACCCAAATCCCCGTGTTGCAAAACCAGCTGTTTCGAGGGTTAAGCAACACCTGTGTAGACTTAGGAGACCTAAGTGTTGAAACATCCACTCTCTCATTTCCAACACCCAGGTCCCAACAACGGTTTTTTCAGCCATGTCCAAATTCCCGAGAGCTGTCCAAAAAGCAGTGGTTGGGGGATGCTGTTGGTTCTTGGATTGTAAACAGGCCTTCAACCAAAGAGCAATACGGCCAAAGCCCGGCTTGTGTAAAACCCCACGAACACTAATCTGCTTTGATAAGCACCAAACACCCAATGGTGACCTGGTGTCTTTTGTATCGTAACGAGATGCCGAAAATTTGAAGCAAAATGCAAACAGCACCTGCCAGGCCTGCCCATTTGCCCCAAAACTCTGATGGCGGAACGTGCTGGCCACGCGTCATTGTTTTGTTTGCTTTATCATTTTGTTTTGTTTGATTGTCTAACCCCAAGGTGAAGCAGAAATCCAACCACTCAGTCTAAAAAAGCAAGCTCAGTTTCAAGACTCTTCTCATCAAGCTGCATGTTGAAACATTCGTGTTGGTGTTTGAAAACGCATGGAAACCATTGATACCGCTTCTTTTTTTGGGGACATTTTTCAAGAAACTGGCACACAAAAACTTAAAGGATTTCCTGTAAGCTGTCCTGCCTGTTTTGGGGGTCCCCAGAATGAGACGGAGGATCCCAACACGGACTTCGCCTGGGAGCAACGCCGAGAGCACGGCCGCCGCCTCGTGGGCCGCTTCTGGACTCTGAGGCGCCAAACGCATCGAGCGTGAGCCGCTCGAAAGGCCGGTGAAACCTGTTCCGTGCCCCAAGCGGTTTGGTGTGAATAAGTATATGTATACATATATATTATATACATACATATATATATACATAACAATATATATGTATATACATGCATATATATATATATATGTGTCTACACATATGCATACATATATATATATATATACACTGTATATATATATATACCCCAATGGCTCCTGGGGCCTCTGATGCGCGTCTCGGGGGTCTCTGATGCGCGTCCGGCCAATTTTCCTGTTTCTGGCCCGGAGGCCTCAAAACGAGGGCCCGGGTGGTCAAGTTTTTGCCAAGCTCGCACGAAACATCTAGACTTAGAGCAATCACACATTCTCCAAGCGCGGGATCGAATTCTTCCCACCCTGCTTCACGAGCTTTTCTCTGGATCCGTGAGACTACTACATCGCAGCTATAGCATGCCGAAGCAAATTACTGCGCAACACCAAGAAGGCAAAGGTGCTCTTTTGATTTCCATTTTGCTTGATGCAACCCTTGGACCTTGAACGTTTGCCAAACCAATCACAAGCCATTTAAAGCCCATCGCCTGCCGGCGTCAGCCATGCAGCGTTGAACACACGCGTCGCGGACAAAACGCGGAGCCGGTCAAACCAGGGGTTGCTTGCCTGCACTTGAGTTGGCTTAACCAAGTCCTCTACAAACTGACTTGGAACAGCAAGAAGCTAACGTTTGGGCTTTTAGGGTGCCGTTTTGGGAGCCGATGAAATTTAACCCGTAGCCCGCGATACAAACTAACTTGGATCACAAAATGGGTTCAGGGGGAAGCCAGACATGTGGTTAAGAATTCCAATCAGCACGCTGGCTGAGGAGCCCCGGCCTGCATCATGTAAGATTCTTCGCTGTTTGCCCTTGGTTCTCAAGTCAGCTTCCCGCTGACAATAACCCGCACCCAGTAAGTTTGCTTTTCATTGTTCGCCCTGGTTTTAAGTTTGTTTCTCGGAGGCAGTGACTGCTGTCACGTGCAGGTTTCTCCCCCATGCGCGTTTCACTCCGGCAAGGCTTTGGCGCAAAAGCGCGCGTCGCGCCCTTGCCTCAATTTGAAAGCTGCGATGCTCAGCTTTGGGCTGGCCCACGGCGCCAAGCGTATGGATTTTCAACAGCGACAGAAGGACGGCGAGCTCGCGCGTTTGCTTGTTCAGCTATGCTCAAGCTCCAGCTGATGGATTGCGCTGGCTTGGTCATGACAGAGAGCTTTGTGGGCGCAGCTGGGCGAATCATCTCCAGAGGCTGCCGCAGAACTTTGAATTTCTGATAACTGGCTTTGCAGTTTCGGACCATGTAGCTCAACAGTTGAGAGCTTTGCCCATTCGCAATCTTGAGCGGCTGCTTAAGCACGTCACCTTTAAGTTACTGGGCGCCTACTGCAACATGTTTTTAGACCAAAGGGGCATGCATTTTACGGCCTTGAGATTGAGATGGTAGGGCTTGGAACGCTTGTGCCCAGGCGTTCTTTGGGAAAGAAACGCGCAGCGCGGGCAGTTGTGTTGCGAAGGCGTTACTTTCACGACCCATCTGGCGCGTTTCCGCGGGCTCATAGGCGGGCCGCTTCATAGGCGTGCCGCCTGTGCAAAAAGGCAGGCGGGGTCTTCCTTCCTCTCCCTGGCAATGGCCCGCGAGGGTCCGAGAGCCCAAACACCTCCTTGGGAGCCTCTGGGATACATATATATATATATAAATACACTTACATTGTTTAAAAATGAGCATGAATTTTAATGTGGGACCCTCTCGTAGACATCATTTTGGTAGGGTTTATGTCCGCCAACCACTTTCCAGGGGGCGCCTCATGTAAATTCATGGCGACACATATTTATATGTCTAATATGAGTAACGGGCAAGCAAAACAAATACAGTCACCCCCCATCAACGACTTCTGTTGCTATGCTGTGCCTCAAAAGGTCGAAACGCATTGTTACACACGCGGAGGGGTCTTGGGGCTATACATTTGGGAATAGTTGTTGGGTAGCGCATTTCACCTTGTGTGACGCCATGTTCATGTTTACGCCACGCCCCCTTGTTTTTTCCATGGACACTAGGAGGCCCAACACAAAGTGTCTGGAAGTTAGGTTTGCGGGTGCGATCACCACTTTCACTCCATGTCTTCATGCCGGGGCTTACCTTCTGGCTGTTACCCCGTCGTCACAGAGATTTGCTACCCTGAGGTCGTACCCTCAACCCCAAGTGAGCCTTGGTTCATGTATTCACTGTTTGGCCCAAGCTTGACAGTTGAGGGAGCGCATGGCGAGTGCACTGGTTGCCTGTGAAGCTGCATTTGTTAGGGCGGGACATGATTCAAACAAAGGTATAGGCTCGCTAACGGGAAGCCCAAAGGTTGTTTGCACATGGGCGTGCTGTTTTGAAAAGGATCCGCTTTTAGCTAGGTTTTAAGGGGAACCAGGAGGCCAATCATATTTGGGTTCCCCACCAATGTTGACACTTATCCATGCGTGTGTGCGTGCGTCTGTGTTTTGAGGGTACGATTCGGGTCTCCTTGTTTTGAAAAGAACCGTCCAGTTGGATTCTTTCCGATACTTGTTGATCAGACCTCCGGAGGCAGGTGCGAAAGGACGAGGAGCTGTTCATCTCCTACGGGCCGCAGTGGTTTACCTCGAGGCAGGACACATGACCCGGTGTGGATTCTGCCCTCCCTTTTCGATTCACCCCTAAATGGCAATTGTGTTTTTAGGCGTTTACTGTTTGGGTGTAACAGGTATTTTGGTCACACTCAACAATTCAATCTGAACACGGGGTTACTTGTCCTTCATTTTTGGAGTTTAGCAAATGGTCCTTTTAAAACCATTTCCCAAACAAAACACATGCCCATTGCCACACAGGGCGGGGGAGGGTTGAAAAGACGCGGGAAACTTGGTGTTGTTTTTCCAGTGCAGAGTGAGTTGATAGATGTTGAGCACCGGCAATTAGCGAAAGCTGAAGCAACCACTGCAACATGCAACAGGGCACAACTCCAATCACGTGTCGCTTTTGCTTGAAAATGTGTGTTCCCGGGTAGATTTTTGTTCCGCTTGTTGAACATTGGCTCGAAGCATTCCCGCATGCGGTTGGCCTTGTCCGGGTTAATTACCTGGTTGCCCTAAAGATGGACCTCGTGGAACGCACTGCAGCAGTGTGAGCATTGTCTTTCTGCGGGGGCAAACTTCTGATTTTGAAGGACATGTCACAGGTCCCTTTCTTTGGCAGCATGGCTCACTCAGATCTGGGTCCACCTCTGTGACTTGAACTGAGAACCTCGGATTACAAGGAGATGGCTGGGGTCAGTGGGACACCAGAACGATGTACCCTTCCAACGGGAACCTGATTGGAGGTTTCTGAGAATGTTTGGTTCTTCACATGCTGTTGAGCAGACTCCTTTGTCACCATTTATTGATTATGACTCAGTTGGGGATATACCTCAAGAGGAATGGGGGCAGCCAGTGTTCACCCCACAACACCCTCTTCAGTTTTCAGGAATGGTCGGAACATGATTCTCCCATGAGGACTTTTAATGGAACCCCACAACCCCATTCTACTTGTTTGGGCCCTGAGAGTATTCGCCAGCTTTGATGATGACTCGGCCCTGGAGGAACCTCACCGCCAAGGCCGCCTAGATTCGCCGGATTCGCCGGCGGATTCGCCGGCGGATTCGCCAGCGGATTCCAAGTCTGGGCGAGTTCATGTAGCCATTTGTTAGTTTGTTAGTTTCCAGATACTATCCGCGAGGCTTCCAGTTACCGTTTAGCCTTGCCATTCAGTGTGTCCATTTAGCTTTCAATTGGTGGTTGCCGCTTTTCGCGGTGCGGGTTTCTTTCGGTTTAGGCGGAGCGGATCGAAAACCGATCCAGCCGGGCATATGTGATGCGGAAAATCGCCCAGCGGTGTGCGGAAAAAGGAAGCAGGCAGGATGCCAGAAGAGAAATTGAATCTATTGGTGAAAATGGGTGTAACTTGAAAAGGGTGATGAAGAGGGAGTTCACAGGGAAACCCATAGGGACTAATGATTGGGAGATGGCCTTCCGAGAAAAGGGTCTATCCACTGAGAAGCGCACAAGTGAGTAAGGAGGACTAGTGACCAAAACCAGTAGTCCAATTCTGTGCAGTAAATGAGGAGCGTCTTTTTTTGGTGGTACCCTTTCCGGGGTGGTTTTAAATGGACGCTCGAAGGAAGCCAACCGGTTTTGGGCGGTCGCCCAAACCTGCATCTGCAGCACGGAAAAGATATCGAACCAGCGGAACCCTATGATCGAGCGTGGTCACCCAATTATGAGTATGTAGCTTCGTCTGGGCTTCCCTTTACAAGCACAAAAAGGGTACTTTGACAGCTACATTCACCCCTGCAGATTGACACAGAACTCGGATCTCTCTTGCTTGATTGTTGCCCGAGTTCACTAACGATGTGGCCGTGGGTCAAAATCCCGTACCCCCAGCGAACATCCCAATCCCCACTGAAATAATTAGCCTAAAATGGGTGGTGGATTCACCTACCAACCAAAATGGGATCCCAAAGCCGTTTTGACAACCACAGCCATGTTGCAGACTGAAACCATGCCCGGCTCAGGAAGCTTCTGTCCGAGCCCGCCGGCACGTCCCGAGCTCATCTGAACCGCTCTGGGAACCAATAGACTGAGCGGCTTCCTGGACTTTGCGGAGGTTTCCCCTCCTTGGGTTTGCGCGCTTGATGTGGTCTCGCTGTCGCTGAGAAAGTCAGACTGTGAACATGTTTAAGACCAGGCTGCAACATGCTGTGCTCGGACAAAGTGTCATGGATGCGAGGTTACCGACATAATTTGTCATGTGTTTTTGCATTTATGTAAGTATCCGGATACATTTTACATTTTACCAGTGATTCAAAGTGAAACAAAATATAACATATACATTCTACAACTGGGCCTGACTCTACTCATGGTGTTGGTCTGGGTGGTTCTTTCAGTACTTTCGGTAAACAATCTCACCACGGAGCCGCGGTTCAGGTGCAGCACGTGCAAGGAGAAGCTTCTGAGCCGAGACTAGCTGCGGAACCCACTCTAGGGGTGATGCCCTTTCTATCACTGAGATGTTGTTGGAACAGTTCCAGATCCCAATCTTAGCAGCTTTTGGCCTTTCATTTTGACCTGCGCATATGTGTGCATATACCTCTTTCGCGTCGATTTGGGTTGCCAATTCAGAGTGAGCCTCCTTTTGGTGTTGGGTGTTATGGATTGGCAATGTTACTTCGAAGTTGCAACCCTGAAATCCTACATGTGTTGATTAAGCGCCCCCAGAGTTTCTGTATGTTTCTATCAAGCCACCATAGGTTGGTTGCCTTTAGGAGTCGAGGTGTGCCTCGACGGAGCACTGACCGCCGCGCTGGATGTTAACGATCCCTGGTGGGCCGATCGCGTACCCATCTGGGAAAGAAAGGGCGCCTGCCATGGTTTGCTTCAATTACAGCAATGGAGTTGGAACTTGGTAGAATGACAATGACAGTTCGGGCGGGTTTTGTATTTGGTTCAATTCAAAGAGGGGTCGTGCTGCCCACAAGTCGCAAGTTCTACTTCACTATTATTATTTAACACCTTCTTTACAGGCTATTGAGGTCGGCCGCTTTACCTTTCAACCAATGGAACAATGGCAACATCGGCTTGGGGTTGGCAACACCGTTTTTGATGGAGGCTTATATACCACCAATAGGCTTGTAGGGCAGTATATACTTCTCCAGTGGTATATAACCGTAACTGACAAAGCTACGGGATGGTTATGAACAACTCACTTCTGGAGGGACATGTCCTTGAAAATTTGAATCTCCGTTGTGGTTATGACAAAGCTGAAGCTTCGAACTTGTCCCTTGCAGTATGTAGGTTGGAGAGTGAGGGTGGTACTGCGGGATGGCTCTTCTCTTTGACTTAAACATGTTCTACCCGTTGCATGCTCATGTCGACCCTAGATTGGCCGTGGCGGAAAAGGATATATATATATATATATATGGTGTCACTTCCCAGCAAAAACAAAGGCATCTATTGAGAAGGGACATCCCTCATGTCGTCCCAAGATGCAAGAATCCCATTCACCCAGTTGCCCAGTGGCTCCCGTGATTCCTGCCTTTTTCGAAGGGTTCCCCTTTAAACTCAACCCACCAAAGAAGGATTACCTTTTTTTCCATGGAAATCCACTGGGCAGCTGAGCTAAGGGACAGCCCTTCAACAAATCGGGGGAACATTCGTCCCCTAGGCGGGGGGCCTCTGGATCCACCGGTGACTGGCCTTTGCCTCGCTTTCGGAGCCTTCTGCGGCTCATTTTTTTCACGGGCGACACGCAGCAAAAACATCTCACCGGCCCGAGTCAGAGATAGGCACTCCAACGACGATCTGTGATTTTGTGTGCATGTGGGGCTGTCTTTCTTTCGAGGGTACACTTTTTGTTCACGGCTTCAAAGGGAAACCAAAAGGAACACCGATGCCATTTTGGGGGGTCCCGTAAAAACAAGGTGTTGTTGTTGGGCCAGATGGTTGATTCTATGTATTTGGTCAGCCCTATCCGCGCCTTAAGTGCATAAACACACGGCCCGCTTCACAGCAACCTGGATGGCCATGTTTGTTCGAGTTGGAGCCACCTGAAAAGTGGTGGAGATGAATCCCCACCTAAATGATATCCACCAGTTTGGGTCCCCGATTGAAATTCACACACACAGCAACCCGAATTTTGGAGCCAGAGCACAAGCCAACACTCCCTTTGCCTCCGCATGGGCTTGCGCCCGGGTTCCAGTGTGCAGCCTCTGGTTTGCCAGCATGCCAAAATGCGGCAGAAATCTACCGTGATGTGCAGAACATCAGCTTGCCTTGAAGAAAGATAAAACATTGTTTTGCAGTACAAGCTGGCTTGACTCAGAGTTTCCCACGTGAAGAAAGCGGCTTTGCTCAGGCCATCATCATGGCTTGGCAGATGCAACAGCAGATGCGGCCGCCGCAAGCGCAAATGCGGCCGCCGCCAGCGCAGCAACGTCCGCCAATGCAGGCAGTCTTCATCGTAAAAAGCCTTTTCGGAACCAGGCAGCGACCTTTAAGATGGAAAGACTGGGCAATGTGTGGGAAGGCTCAGTTGCTTGAAAAGGGCAAGTCAGGATGTCCCCCTAGGGGCTGCAAGGGACAATGTTTGCCATGCAAGCCAGGATGAATATCCTGCCCCTTTTGGGGCATCCTTCGCGTTTTGGGGAAACACCCTGATGAATTTGTCAGGTTGATTGATTCATTGGGAATTACATAAGTTCGAATTTTGGTTTGATCCGCCAAAGGCTTTGGATTGAAGCCAACAGGTTGGTCGTTGGGCCTTCTTACTGCCCCAAACAAGTGGCAATTCCGTGTTTTTGGAGGGCCAGGTTCCCAACAAAGTATCGACCAACAAGAAGGGTGCCCCTTGCTTCTATGCTTTCAAATTGGTGGTTTTTTCGTTGTTGTCCTTTAAAACCCCTCAAAGAAGATAGACCCACATGGGCCTCCATTTGCTAAAGAATATGTTTATATTTTCCCTTGTTGGGTTTATTTAAAAGGAAATCATCACTACTGGACATATTTTGTTTTTTTCCTGGGGCCTTAACCAAATGGAAGTGGGGGTTCCACCACGTGAGCTGTGAGACCAGTCCCACCCTTCGATTCCCGGATCGCAGGGCGCCGGGAAGGCCAGCGGCAAGGGAGGCGCGTCATTGCGTGCATCGGTAAGTATCGGTGAGACGAGACGGGGATTCGCCACGGGGTTCCTTTTTTGGGTGGCTCGTCTTTTTTTCGAGGCTACCCTTGTTTTGGTATGTTTTGGTCGTGTTAAAGGACCACCATCTTGGGGGAGTCCTCTAGAAAAAGAGTTCGAGGGTACAACCTTGTTGTGCTGGTTATAGAGGACCCCTAGAAAAGACACACCCAAGAGGCCACGGGGTCCCTTGTCAAGCTGGGTCAATGGGCTGGCAGACTGACGCTTTGTTCCGGTTACATGTCCATGCCCACCATGGCTTCGACATGTGGGGTGAGTTATCAAATGAAAACGTAGTATCTTGGTTTGTCGGTCGGGTGTCCTCATCTCAAGAATGAGTTCGTCGGTGCTTCCCTTCATGAGAAGGAGGACTTCAATTCCAGAGCTTTCCCAAAAGACGCAGGGGTCAATGTTTGGCCAACATCCATCTCTGCTTGTAGAGTGGTGGTATAAGTGTGTGTCTGAGAATAGGAGATCCGTAAATGATGTTTCTTCCAGTTTCAAAGCGGCCCAAGCGCGGCATCCAAAAACTAAACGACACCTATTTCTATCCTTTAGTTTAAATCCAAGCACACCAGTTCTGCTGAAAAGACCCTGGTTTCATTTCCTTCGAGGTCCTTCGGGTTCCGTTGGGTTCCTTTGGGGTTGCTACGGGTTCCTTCGTTCACTGGGGGTTCTGGATACCCCAACAAAAAATTAAACCTCTCGGGGAAACCAATCGAACCAATTCCCGCCCGGGCGCTGGCTCGCTGGCTCTCGCGACTCGGGACTCGCCGGCAGGTTGTGTGCAGAGCGTGCAGAGACTGGTGAGCCAAGCCGCCGCCCAGGCGGCCAGTCCGGCTTCGCTGGATTTGGCTGTGGTGGTCAAAACCAACCTTGTTTGATGTGGGAGATAAACCAACCTCTGGGCACGACAGCTGAACTACACCGACACGTTTCCCTTGATCTCCAGGGAGCAATGACCCTTATGTGGCTGTGGTTGTCAAAACCGTTTTGGGATCCCAATTTGGTTGGTAGGTGAATTCACCCATTTTGGAACCAATTTTAGTGGTTGGTTTGGGATGTTCACTGGGGGCTAACCGATTTGGATGTTGACCCATGTCCATTCGGAAGCATCGGACTTTAAAAAACGACCAAGAGGTAGCCTTCGGAGGTGAATCAAACGCAGGTCTCCATGGCCCCAATTTCCCTATGCCCTTCCTCCACAAGCAGGCAGCTGTGGGGTACCTGGAAGATTAAGGTTGCTTTTGAAGGGACCTCCGCTCAAATACAGTCAGACACACTCAAATCTGTGTATTTTAGGTCGAGCTCACTTCGGGGTGAAAACACGCCCCTTGATGAAGGGCGTTTGCCCCCCCCCCCCCCCCCAATTACTCGGGACGCCAGTGATATATAGTTTTAGTCGTACGGAGATTTCGGAACAACTGACTGAGGCACTTCTTTGACAATGTTTACAGAAACAAGCAAACTCAAACAGGTGGTCAACGAGACCCAAAAATAAGGGCTCATCCAGACCGGCTATTCCGAATTCCAGGGGGGGGGTAGTCAGCTAGGGGGTAGTTAGACATACCATGACTTTTCTGTGGACCCCTTTGCGAGTTACGTTGATGGATTTCAGTTGCTTCCGATTGCCAAGGGCAGACCGCAGCCGCCTCCGCCTCCCACACCGGCGAATTCTGCTGCGGCCAGTGGGAACATTGTGGTGACGGGCTGCAATAATGCCGCCCGGCCGTGAAGACTTTGTTTGGTGCACGTTGCTTGGATGTTAGGACTTCAACAGATGGAACAAAGCTAATGGGTTTTCCCATTAAACCACTAACAGTTAAAGACTTTGAGCAGGGGAGCAGAAAGCAACCGAGATGTTGTGTCCTTGCGGGGGGGAGTCAAGCGTTTGAATGCCCCCCAGATATACGGGCATTTTCTAAAATCCCAGCTGAGTCGGTGATTGATTCGATTCCAGGGGGTCCCGTGCTATTGGGGATACCTGGGCTTATCCACAGACTCTTTCTGTTCATGTCATCTTGAAGCTGTATCCCCCCCTCCGTTAAGTTATTCTAAGGGCCAACCTGCATACCTCAAATTCACACACCCCGATTTTGGCCCGAAAAGAGACGGCAAGCCGAGGCAACTGTCTCCAAGATCATCAAGGGGTCCTACTCCGTGTCAGGCTCAAACCATGGCAAGCCTGTCTACAAGAAGGACACGCTCCGGTCTGACCTCCCTTGGGTGGATGGGGAAAGGGATCCTTTTCCCTGACTCGTTCTGGTTGACCCCCCAAAGGCAGCACGTGTTTATTTGGGTTTAGCTGTAGGTTTGTTTGTGCCTTGGGCAGGTTGTGATTATGAAGTAAGTGAAATAGTGCTGAGACAAGGCTTTTCCCATGTTGCTTTTGCTTCCATGGTAGAGCAGTTGCCCCTGGCAGGACAACACCGAGCCCAACGTCAAGAGCTCAGCGGGTTTCGGATTCGCGCCAGCCAAAGGGATCGCTAAGCTGCTCTTAGCTTGGGGCTTTGTAGCTCGAGTTTCTCTTGTTCAAGATGAGCTGGCGGGGAAACATGACTTGGGTGTGTCCTGTTTTCGGGGTACCCCCTCAAAATAATGATGTTGCTTTTGGTTTCTCATTGAACACCAATCAAAAGGGGGATTCCCCAAACACACACACACACCACACCATACACCCATTTTTCGCCAAACCAAGCCACCAGTTTTCTGAGCGTTTGAAAGCTTGGGTGTCTGAGCATGTGACTTCGGAAGCTATTTGTTCCAACACATGTTTTTTGTTTGGGATGGACCCCCAAGCTTTGACAAGGGTTATGAAGAAAACCACCAGGACTCACATGGCCATGAATTTTGAGAGTTGGAGCCACCTTGTTCAGTGGTTGGTTTGTAACCTGAATCCCCACTTGAATGATCCACCAGTTCAGGTCCCTCATCAAAATTCATATGAGCCACAATCAAGACCCGGGTAGATTAAGGTGAGTAAGGGATACTCACCTGCACAAATGGGTTCAGTTGTTTTCTAATTCCCTACACGGCTCTGGGTGGGCCATTTTGCGACCAGGTTTTTGACGTGTGGCTCACCTGGGGCTTTGGCCGAGGTCACGGTGCTCATCTACTACTGGGACGAGCGGGACGGGCCCAACTTCACCGGTTGGTGGTTCGGGCCCAAGGTGGGCGGCGACCAGGTCTGGTCCCACGCGGAGAACAGGCGCGGCCGAACGCTGGGGCTGGGGCGGTTTCTGTCGTGTGCATGAGCCTGGGGGGTAGCCTGGGGGGTAGCCTGGGGGGTAGCCTGGGGGGTAGCCTGGTTTTCTGTCTTCTCCCACAAACATGAGGGGTAGCCTCAAAAGACACACATGTCTCAAACAAAAAGGAAACCCGCAAAAGTCTCTCAGACCTTGCTGAGCCATGGCGGTTCAGTTCAGGAACTTTGTTGTAACGTTGTACCCCTGAGCGTGCACTTTTAAAGTGTACCCCGAAAGTGTAGGTGAAAAGATGTTCCTGTCAATTGTTAGAAGGTGGTTGTGGTGATCAATTGAGGCTACCTTGAGCAGTTTGAGGCTACATCTCTTCATTTAGTTTGTGCTATTCTTCTTTTTTTTTTCTTCTGTGCATTTAAGTAGGGAGCTACAAGAAGCACAGTTGTTGGAAAGCCTTCTCCAATTGCTTGGATAGCATGGGTTTCCTCGAAACCCGTCCCCGTTTCCACCAGAAGCCTTTGGAGAACGCTGTGGAAAAAACGTAGACCCCTTATGCTCCTCTCAGAGGTCAAGAGGGCCAACAAAACGTAACAACTTACAAGCAAGCACGTGGATGACCTCATCCCCAAAGAAACAAAACGGCTGGTTACCTCGGTTTCGCCCGAAAAACAAATCCGCGGACATAGGATTCGATTCCATAGGACGGCGCCTATGCCACCGCCGGGCGGCTGGAAAGTGCCCTGGGATGGGCAGGTGGATCCGTCCCTGAAGCGCCTTGGTGCCGGTGGGTCGTTCGGTGCCTTTTGGGTTGTCCAAACAAAAATGCACCGGCCAGCCTAAACCCTAAGAAATCTAAACCCTAAACCCTAAATCCCACATGGATCGTCTATGGTCGCAAAAATCCACTGGCCAACTGGTTTTTCCTCATGGATTGTCTATGGTGTCTTTATTTGGAGTTGGTACCTCTTTTTGGTGGGTGCAAAACTGGGGAAAGAAGACAAGCCCATGAAATTGCTTGTTCGTGAGTTTCTGATTCTTGCCAGAAGGGTCAGCTTGGGTTCCAGTTTTCGAGTTAGCGAGTTGTTTTTCCCCCAAAGAAGCCCGTTTGAGTCTATGCGGCAAGTAAAATTGGACTCTCTGAAATTCCCTCGGCTGAAAGTGAAGATTCCCTGTTTCAGGTGGTCAGGATTGCATGTATGTAGTATCTATTTGTTGGTGTGCCGCGATTGATGCGAGAGATACACCAACCTTGGAGTATGACAATTTCCAGGGAGCAACGACCCTTATGTAAACTAGATCGATTTAACAACACCTCAGCTTCTTAAAGCGCATCGACCTAAACCTCCTTGCGTTTGCTACTGCTGGTCTGCTTTGCATCATGGCAACTCAAACAGGTTGTCACCTTTTATAAGCTATAACCCTTTTAGAGCCAGGAGTCACAAGTTGTGGGACTTATTTGTTGTCAAACAAACCAGAGGAATGGGCAGGACGTGTTGTGCCCTGAGGCTCAGTACGGCCCCAAAGCCGCCGCCTCCAGCGCACACCCCGGCACACACGCCACCGACTCCCACGCCGCCGGCGGGGAAGGCCGTCCGTGGGTGTGTCTTCCCTTTGGTTTTCCCTAGCCAAGCCTTAAAGGGATTCTGAACAAGGACACTATGGGTGTGGGTCAAAAACAGGTAGCCGAAATGGAACCTGATAGACGGAAACACGGGCTAAAACCTGCGGTCCCCTGGTTGTTTAATTTTGACCCATGCCGGCCCATGCCCATATGAGCATATGGGCGAAACAATTACTACGAGTATTTGACAATATGCTCTTTTGAATCATGAGTATGGTTTTGTCTTAAAATACCCTACAACCCATTCTATTTGTTCAGGTACTTAGAGTACCTTTAGCTCTTGCGTTGTTCTCCCAAGAAGTAAAGTGGTACAGTCGGGTATTCATATCTTTCGGGGTACTCTTTTGGACCCTCTTTGGGGTTGCTTGAAAGGGAATCCGAAATTACGCCACACATGTTTGTGGAACATCTGACTGCTCAAATATCAAGTCGAACTGAAACAGAACAGGAGGACTGGCAAGAAAGTGCCCTGCCACAGTCCTGAGCCCTCACGGAAAATGGGTCTGTTGACCATTTCACGCTTGTTTCGTTGAGGGGCCATGTCGAAGTCTGAATGCAGCAATTCTAGCGAGCTCATCTGGGGCTAAGACGAGCTCACCTATGAGTAAGGTCGCTAATTTGGGATTTCTTAATTCTTGTTGGTGAAAAATGCGTAGTTTTGCCCGAATAAATCCAGCCTTGACTGCTTCTCTGTTCTAGGCATGTTTTCTCATCAGTTGTTTGTTGGCTGTCTTTTACACCGGAGTTGGTCACGTTGCATGTTCCTACGAAACCAGCTAAACGAACGTTGGGGTGTGAACCCAAACCAAGGGATTTCCTGTAATGTCAACCTTGGATTGATTTGGAGGACCGTGCCAATCAGGGTGGTTCCCTTTTAGCCAGGAAATCATCAATTTATGGGTGTTCCTCTGATCAGTGGGGTCCTCCGGATAATTCCGAAGTTGACATGACTTTCCTGGTTCGCTAGTTTCTGAGAGCCAGGGTTGTGGGATCACTCGGGGCTTATCCCTGTGATACAAGGGAATCTCCCCTGTATGGGGGGGTTAGTCTTTTGGGATTAGGCCCTTTCTGTTGTATCACAGATTCGCGGATTCCATTTCCCACAGCCCTGCTTAGAGCTTTTCAAACAGTGTCTCTCCCCCAAAACCAAAAAACAACTCCCCTCAGGGCCACGTGGTGGCGGCCAGACCACAGGACGCCTGGCAGCCTTTGGGTGAGTTCAAAATCGAGCCTTGGTTCCCTTGGTTCGAACATGGGCTCTGAAATTCATAGGCATATCATTATAGGTGTCCTAATTCGGTCAGTTTTTTTTTTTTTTATAGGACGGGTTCCACTGGTTTCAATTTGGTAATCATTTACGAGTGCCATCTATTTCAAAGGAGGCTTATGCCGCTTATTCTTAGTGTTTCTTTTCTTGGGAACCAGGATTTTGCATTTGTTTGGTGGTTTTGCCTTTTGGTGTGGGGAAACCGATGTTTCGGTGTGGCTTCCATGAGCCAAAGGTTGATGGGTGGGCGATGCTCTGGTTCAAACCGGGGGCGGTTCCAGCCGTGCCAATGTCGGGGATGTTTCTTTTGCTGATTATCCTGAAGTGAGCGCGGTCAGTTGCCACATGTTGGGCGCCAGGCTCCCTGGTTCCCCAAACATTCCCCCTTTTTTCCTACTTTGGTCAGAATGTCTAGCACTGGTTCATTTGGGAACTCCCATGAACTCCACTGAAAAGCGAAATGAGCCCTAGCTTGTCCAAGTCCTCTTGGGGAAACCTTGCGATTTTCACCGTGCCGAGGGTGGCGCCAGACCGATGTCCCAGGCTGCGCGCCAGGCCGGAGAGAGTGGTTCTCAAAGGTATTTTTGGGGTGTTGGGTCTTCTCCAAAAAACTGTATGTTTTTAGGGTAGGGTATGACTAACAGACTCTGAACAGAATGCATTTGTACAGATGTGGCCCGGTGTCACGTGTTGTTTCATGGCTCCCCATGCTTGCCCACTAAAAATCGATTGGTTCATGGCTAGTTCGTGGTTGATTAGTTCATTGTGTCCGCGGGGGGGGGGGGGTCTCTGCGCCAGTGGAACCGGTTGTCAGACGGTTGAGCCGGTTCAACCGGCTCAGCTGGTCCAGAGATGTTCTAGTTTAATTCGTTTGACTGGTTTCAACGCGGTCCAACTGGTTTCGACCGGTTTCATTGGTTCAACGACTGTCTTTCAATGCTGAGTGTGGGGCTTGGGGGAGGTTGAGGGCGGGGGGGGGGGGGGTTGGGCAAATTTCAAATGTTTGAAACCCAGTTCAGCGCCCAAATCCCTTTTCTTGTTGCTTTCCCAAATGGACATCTCCAGGGTTCGATACTTTTTCTCTGCCAGGGACATATTGATTGGTCTCTTGCTCACTCCCTGAGATCCACTGGACTCCAATATCACTTGTTGGGTCTGGCAGACAAACAGCTTGGGCTTTCTTATCCACGGAGGTGAGTTTAACTTTGGACTTTATCTGTTTGCCAACTCATGGGTTTTCCATTAAACCACAAAAAGTTAAACTTCTAGCAGGGGAGCAGAAAGCTACCCCCGAACGCCACCACCAAAAAATGGCATCACCTGCCAATTTTTTCTCTCCCTCGACCAGGTGGTTCCGCCGGCCGCCTCCGGCGCGAGGCCGGCCCTCGATCCCCAGAAGCAGGCGGGAATCGCATGGAAGTCGGCTGAGCCGCGTCCTCAAAACCCGGGTGGATGAAGGTTAGGAAAAGACAGTCCCACTGTGGGTCAACACCAATGGTACCACTTTGGGGTAGGTGCACCACCCATTTTACTCTATTTTCGTGGTTGGATTGGGATGTTCCCTGGTGGCACGGGGATTTCTTGACCTATGCCAAATGGGTGCCCGTGGAACGTCCAACACCTCCGAGTCCTCAGGTTTCTCGGCCGTGGGAGGGCTCAGGCACGAGAGGCTGTGAGCCACGTCCTCCAAAACCGATTTGGGTGGATGAAGGTTGCAATCGCGGCCGCCCGCCTAATTCTTCACATGGTTCTGGGTGGACCATTTTACGGTGTTGACTATGACTCAGCTGGTGCTTAAGCCGATTTCAAGAATCGAAAGTGGTGTTCCTTTGTTGTTTCCGGCACCCATGAAGTATTAGTTACATAGCCCTTTCTAGGCCACTGGTTGCAATAGTTGGATCCTTGATTCATTGACTGTTGGTGCCCCGCGGGAAATCGCAAGCACAGAGCTTGCTTCGGGTTTCAATATCCCATGCTCCGATCTCAGTTCACCTTGATAGGTAACCAGTCATTGTCCTTTTGCTGGAGTGGTCTCTTGATTGCCTGTAGATGGGATCACTTGGATAGTCAGTTGGGGGCTGATAGAACGTCAAGACACGTTTTGGTCCTGGCCCCCTCCCTTTGGGGGCCACAACAACGGCCATGTACATCGAAGAGGTCAGCAACCAACTAATTGCCTTCCCTGGTAAACGGAAACATGTGCTCGGCGAGCGACAGATGTTGCGCACCATCTTTTAAAATGGAGTTGGGAGAGAATTCCGACCCGTGAATCCATGTTCCACTGCGTGGTGGGATTTTTTTATTGATATTCGCCAAACCGAGATAAGGGTTCCCCAAGAAGGGAACCTCATTGGTTGGGGTCGGAGACAAGGTGACCAACAAGTCCGAGCCTCTAATATTCGAGGTCGAAGGCAAGTTGTTTGTGGGTCATACCCCAAGTGGCTAACCACAAACTTGAAGCATTGGCCCACTCGCCGACCATCCAAGTGAAGGTCCCTCAGCTCGATTTGTTTGTTGCCATCGGATTGATCTAGTTTTCATGTTGGAAGGCAGATGAATCAGATGGATTTCAACCAGTCCCCAGTTCAGCACGCCATCAGACGACAGAGGCCCAGGAGATTCGGTGGATGCCAACTCAATTAGCAAGTAACCCAAGCATAACCCTAGGGGTTGATTCCCCATTCTTTTCAACCATGGTTCTTTTCAACAACCGGCTGTTTCTTTTGGGTTTTCGGTGGTTTTCTAGAAAGATTCGGATCCCTGGAAAGCATGGAAATGGAAGGTACCCTTAGAATAACCACAAAACCATGATAAATCACAGGCAAACAGGGGATGCCCCAACCATTCCAGGTAAACCAACCAAGCTCAAGCAGGTAAATTCGTCCCCCACAGGTGCTGGAGGCGGATCGGAGAAGACAGGCAGAGGCGGCACGCCGAAATCGGGGGAAGGGTATGTTGCATTGGGTGCTGGGTAGCACTTTGACATTGTTGTTGTCCCGGTTTAAGGGCTTGCATCGCCGAAGAAAAATAAGAAGAAACAAGAAAAACGCCTCGGCAGCTGCCAGGAGATGAAGAGAAAAGCCGCCGAGATGAACGCTCATGTGAAACAGCGCGAGGCAGGTCCAAGTCGCCGGGGCGAGGTGAGCAGTTGAGCCTGGTGAAAAGGGAGCTGTTTGGGGTTCAATAGTGAGGCAATACTTCAAAGGATAAGCTCCAAAATGTTTGCCCAGTGCGGGTGTGTGATTGTGTGGGTGTGTGTGTGTGTGCGCGTGGGTGCAAAGAGTGTGTGGGTGCAAAGAAACACCCGTGCACAGCATATGATTCGCCCCTTCCCGCGAAAATCTCAGCCCAGGTATCCCCACCCTGCAACCGTCTGGCAGCCTGGGCAAAGACGATTTGAGCTGGTGGTTGGAAAAACGAGATGCCGATAGGAGTCCTTTTGATCGATTAGTTTGGATAGAAATTCGACAGGCTCTGGTTTAGATTGGCTACATGCCATCCATTTAGCATGGACACCCATCGTTGTGTGTTTTTCAACCAAATGGACACCTCCCAGAGGCTCCTGGCGCTTTCCATGGAAGACCCGACCCCTCCATTAGACAGCCCGGGATTGTTTGTGGAGGGCCCCAAATTCGAATTGGAGCGTCTGGGCTATGGAGAACACACCGACCACGGAAACCCCACCGACCCAGCGACCCACCGATCGCCCGAAGCCCACGGACCGAAGCGAGGAGGAGAGCAAGCGCCGGCGGGAGGAGGAGGACCAGAAGGCGAAGGAGACGAAGCGAGGAAGGTTCTCGAAGGCTTTGAAACGCCAACAGAAAAGAATAAAAACGTAACCACATATGGCGAAACATGGCCAAGGGGAAACCAACAAAAGGGCTTTGAATTGCCTTCTGTTTTTTTATGGGTTGAATATTTCTAAGGGTTGATTCCTTTTCCATTCTAAGCCAACAGGTCCAAAGTGGGACCGAAACCCTTGCTTGGGGGTGGGTAGGTGGGTGGGGTTGGGGGGAAGGGAGTCACATCAGAGGTTCCGGGACCCCCCTGGTGTTGTAATTTTGAGGCATACCCATATCTTAAGGATGTTCATCCAAGTTTCTAGGGGTTGATTCCTTGTCCATTCTATTCAACCAATTATTTTTTTTGGTCAAGCGCCGGATCCGTTTTCTTTGGGATTCCGGAGATTTTCTAGAAAGAAGGATCCCTGGAAAGAATGGGGAAGGTACCCCCAGAATTTTGGGAAGCACCCAGCAGCCATGTGGCCCCATTTGCCACCTTTGGTCGAAGAACCGCCTTTGTTCGGAAGAGGGACACCAAACAAACAAATTGTTGGCAAGAGACCTCAAAGGGTTTTGAGCGTGGCAAGAACCCGTAGTGTCACACTTTTGGGGGAACTTGGTAGTTTCCAGCCATCCGGTTCCTTAGATTTGTTTAGCTGCTTTTCTGTTTTAGGGTCTAGGGTTTCCATGTAACGAAGTTAACTTTTGGCGGATCTGAGGACAGACAGCCCCGAAAAGCGAATCGGTCCACGATTTTGAGAAACACCCAAGCCTTGCCATTTGGCCCCGTTTCGCGGAAAACTGTAGCCTCAAGAGCGCGACCCATTTAGAGAATCGGATTGTCCGAATGACGTGGGTAGTTTGAAGCTCAACTTTCCAGTGAGGGACGTAGAGCGATCAATTGAGTTCCAATGTACTCGCCCCCTTGATTGCTATGCGATCTTTGCCCACGTATTTTTTTTTCGGGCTGCGGAAGGGTTCCTGTCCTTGTACATGAAGGCAACCGAGCAAGCTTCCCCAAATTGCCGTCCATCCAAGACTTCGACACTTCAGGCTGACTTCCCTTGAGGTGAGTTTGCATCCTTGGGTTTACTAGATGGCCAGAATCAAACATGCACCTTGCGGTCGGGGCGCAGTAAAAGTTCAAGTAGAACAGTAGGTTATCTGTTCTTTCTAGAAACTTTGGTTGCAAAAAGTGCCAAGGGTCAAGTTATCCTGAATTGGTGGTTTGGATTGGTGGTTTGGGGGTTTGAACCTCTGATTTTGTAGGGCTAAATGGGACACCACCCCCAGAACACCTCCACACCAATCCAAACCGATTGGAGGGAAGCTGAAAGGGAAACGTTTTTCCGGATCACCTCTAAGACGGGCTGAAGCCTCCCAGTGAAAATGGGCTTTGCTTCTCAACTGGGTTCCCCTCAAGAGTCAGAGCAATCATACTGCTTAAGGATGTGCTTTGATCTCCGTTTGAACACTCGAGTACATCCTCACTACCAAGCAGCCCCAAATGCGGGTGGCTCGTCCTTTTTTTGAGGGTACTGAATGGTTTTCAAGAGAAACCAACACAAAACCGAAGCCCATTTTGGGCCCCCCCGCCGCAAAAAGGCGGTTTTCCTTTTGGCTTTCCGTCCGTTACCCCGCCGTATTCTGAGACATGGGGTGCATTTTTTTTTTTCAGGGCCCCCCCGCACCTTGGGCGGGTTTTCCTTTGGGTTTTCACCCCAAAGGAAGGGGGTGATGTTGACGGATGTAAGTAGAAGCCGTCCCACTAGGGGGGTGTTCAACCTCCAACAGTGGTCTGAATCCAACCACCAAAAGGAATTGGACACCCCCCCAAAAAACCACCAGGGCCAGGGGTTTCTTCATCTGGGGGTAACATCAATGCACAGATTACCGGGGTGAACATGACCAACTCCAACCGCCGGATGGGCGGATGGCCAGCCGGATGGCCTCCCGCCGCCGCTTCCTTGGGCCGCGCGGAAGGAGAGGACCGCGGTGAGCAGCGTCCGGCTGTGCATACGAACCGCCGGAGACCCGATCCGGGATCCGAAAGGTCGTTGGACTTGCTGGGATATGTTTGAAGGAGAAGTGGAAGGAACCGGTCTTCAGAAAGTCTCCGAAGAAGAAAGAAGCCACCTGTTGGATGGTTGGAAGTTGGAAGGAACCGGTTTTCAGAAAATCTCCGAAGAAGAAAGAAGCCACCCGTATGGTTCGTTGTGTCGCCGTGCGGTGTTTGACTTGCTGCGATTAGTAGGGAAGGAACCTGGGGATTTCCTCAAAAAGAAACCACCGGTGGATTCTCTCAAAAAGAAACCGCCCGTTGGAGGGGTCATTCCAATTCTCATTCCCTGCCTCTCTCGCACCAGCTAGTTGAAGCTTTCTTCTAGCTGGACACCCAAAGGAAGCCAACTATCTTCCGATTCTGAGCTCTCAAATGGTACAGTTTGCAATCAGGTTAAATACGTGCCGGCACGTATTTTGGGGGATGACTCCAGACAACCCCCCCTCTCTCTGAATATGAAAGCTGCATCGAATCTTGACAGCCAGTCCAGCGTTCGATGTTCTTGAGGTTTGCCAGAGAAGTCCCCGTTTGCCAATGAGATCAGGTTCCTACCTTCGCAAAGACATGTTACTCTACCGACGAACAATTCCGTCTACAATACTTGCAGGTCTTCACCCAAGCTGGGCCGGAACCCTGAAGACAGGGACGGTTCATAGACAAGTCTCCTTTGGCACACTGGAAAAAAGGGTCCGGAGCGGAGGACAACTGTGTGTTGATGTCATATGCTCCCCTGGAGCTCGTGAGATGCTCGGGGGCTCTAGCATTGCTTTGGCGGTGAGTGGCATTTTGTTTCTATGAGCAGGCCGCGTGTTTATCTCCTATACCCGGGGTGGTGAAGAGTTGATTCCCTGACTGCAAGCTGGTCCACTGCACTGAACGAATGATAACGACCTGCGGGAGAATTGAGCTTGCCCCCCTGCCCCGCAACGAAGATCCTTTAGTTGGCCGATCCCCCGTTTCCACATTGTGCTTCATAGAAGTTGTGTTTTGTTTGTTTGATTTTCGTGTGGGTGTGTGTTCCTTATTCTTAACCTCTATATTCAAGGCTTCACCCGTACCTGGAAAGGGCAACCGGTTCGCGGCCTAAGGTTGTCTCGTTTGTAATTGGCCGCGAATCGGTTTGGTTGCTTCCAGTTTGGTTGCAACTCATTGCCTGGAAAGACAACGAAGCCCCGAAAGGAGGGGGGGTTCCCGGAAGCGAGCAGCCGCTGCAGGTAGTTGTGGTTTGTGGTTTTGTTCAAGGTAATGTTGACCCCGGATTACTAAACCCCTGCTTATTAATATGGGGGTGTTCCTCTCCAAAAATGATGAATCCCCACTAAAGCCGAGGACAACCCCCATAGTAGTAAACCGGGGTGTATTTATTTATCTGGGGTCAAAAATGGGCTATTGGCGCCGACGCTTGCACAGAACCTTTTAGCCATTTGCTGCCCCTGGCCGGATGGCGCCCCTTTCTGAAGGCTTAAGGTGCAAAGAAATTTTAACGGACGTCCTTTTCCCTGGCCGTTGTTGTTTGCTGCCCAAGGAAGGCGACCTTTTGCTGTTTGTGGAGGATGTCCAAAGCCAGAAAGGTTGCGCAACCTGCGCCTTTGAGTTGCAAGTCACTGTCAATGACACTGTATCTGGATGGAGCTCGCCCGCTTAGGAAGTAGCTTAAAACCATTATGATAAGGAATCCAACCATCCAACCCCGGTTCCCCCCCGCAGAAGTATGCCCCTGTGAAAAATGTGCCCTAGCCCAGAATCACCTTGTCGCTCCTTGTTGACCTATGCCAAGGTGCGGGGAGCAAATCCGGCAGCTCAGCTCGGATTGGCCCTTCCCAGCACGGGATACAGAGGAAAACACTGCTTCGCCGCATGGGTGGCTCGATTTTTGAGGGTTTTAATTCTTTTTTGGTGATTTTTAAAGGGAACTCCTTAAAACGAAAGCCACAATGTTAGGGGGGTTTTCTAAAAATCAACACACCCAAATGGCTAGTAACCTCACCAGCAAGGTTTTCGGGGTCTCAGCCAGGAAGCGGTTGATGTGGTTGATGTTATGTCGGCGGCCCTCTCACACTATCCCCAAATGAGCAGGGTTCGACGTGCATTGCGATTGAATGGGGGTGGTCATAAGGGCCGGTTTGTCCAAGCTTTTGGTTGGAGCCGGTTTAATCCAATCGACCGAGGGTTTTGGGTAGTCCCCGGGCCTTCGCTCAGATGACCAGATGGCTTGAATCAGCGGGTACACGGAGCCCTTTCTCAAAAACGGACACCTGGCAACAGAGTTTTATCATGAGTTGCCTGTGTCTTATGATTTGTTTTCTGGCTCTCAAAATCAAACATCAATATTTGGAAGTGCTTCAAGAACACTTCCGACCCGTGTCTGGAATTCAAACTGAGGATTATTTTAGTTGTAGACAGTTTTTCTGACCAAACTGTTCACTCGGGAAGTGACTGAAAGGGAACACAGGAAGGACACGGTGTTTTGTCCCTTACCCCCATGAAAGGCCTGTGAATTTTGCTCAACGAACCCAGAACTTGCGTCCACCCGTTGTTTGTGGGGCAGAAAATCCTCCTTGTGTCTTGTCACCCGACTTGTTTGCGCGGAATCCCCCAACAGGAGGGGTGTTCTTCCCACCTTCTTTTCTTTGGGCGGAACATCCCCCCCTTCTTGTGCAGCGGGGGGGGGGGAAGGGTCTTGTCACAGCCGCCCCTCACTCCGCTTCTCGCTTCTCTCCCTCAGTTCACTCCTCGGGAAAGCTTTGGTGCATGTTGCCAAGGGATGTTAGGACTTGCACTTTTTGCAACAACTATGCACCAGAAGTGTCAAACTTTTAGCAGAGAAGCAGAAGGCCACTGAGTTCTAATGTCCACTGAGTTCTAAGGGGTTTGCCGCATTAAACCACTAAAAGTTCGTCACTTGTAGGGGAGCAGAGTTAGCAACGGAGAAAGAAACAGAAAAGCGGCCGAGGCGGGCTACGAGGTGGCGAGGCAGAAGTTGGAGGACGCGGTGGCCGCGAATTTGGAGCTCCTGGGGTCTCAGGCCGCCAAGGCGCTCGGAAGTGGGCGACGGACTTGGAAAACATTAAATCGGGTGGGGGGGGGGGGGGGGGGAAATAAAGGGGGGAAGTGCTGAGTGCGTGGAGGGAGTGGGTTGGGAAAGCAAAAACACTTGTGTGGTTAGCACTCACTTGAGTTCGACTTTGGTCACTCTGTTTGGGGGACCATTTTGGTAAACAAACATAGACTCTTTTTTGGCCAGTCCACTCAGGAAGTGACTTCAGGAAAGCCAAAAGGAAGGTTGAAAGAAGAGGGTGGCTGAACCATGTGAGGGCCTTGGAACTCCGTTGAGTGGTCAGAAAAGTTGGCGCCTGGAGGGGCGCGGCTCGACTGTGTGATCTATGTCGCCTGGTGCTGGCTGCTACCCCGAAACCGAAGGAAAGTCAAATTTTGGATCCCCGACCTCTGGTGTCAAGGCTTAGACTGGGGGATGTTTTCGATCTGGCTGAGCTTGATGGTTTCAGGCTAGACTCGGTGGGAGTCTCGTGTGAGTAGTCGACCCCAAAAAGGGTTCCCTTTTTTTTAGGTCTGGATGCGGTTGGCAGGGATAGCAGCAAGTTCAGCGCGTTTTTCCGCAACGGTCAGATGGAAGGGCAAGTGGCAATCTCCTCCCGCAGGTGGGCTTGGAGGCGGAACAAGCCCTGCAGCATGCACAGCAGCGTGCCTCGGCGCATGTTTTGGGTCTTAACCTGCTGCTTGGGGAATGACCCTAGGGAACACCCCGGTTTAGTCCGGGGTCAACGGCAACCAGAACTCACCCAAGAACTGGGCTCGCTCCGGAGCTAGGGGACTCCTATGGGCCTATCTTTTGGATGGCCCAGGCATTGATGAAATCAATGAGCACAAGGTGCAGGAGGAGAAGAGAAAGCTCAACCAGGAGCGCCAGCGGGAAGTTTGTCCTGAGACTTGCTGAAGAGCAAAGTTTGGGCTGGGCAAATTGTCAGGTCCCTTTTGCAGGGATACCAAACCAAAAGGAGGATTCTCAACAAGTACGGTGTTCCAACATGTTAAAACAAGCGGCCGGCCCAACCCGAACAGTTTGTGATCAGCCAAGCAACTGTGCTGGGTAAAGTCGAAAGAACTAGCTGAGTCGAACATTTCTTATCCGCCTCCGGAAATGCTGGATGGAGAAGCGCGTGTGGACGTTGAAATGGAACCGATTGGCAACCCATCAGTACTTGGCATTCAACCAACTAACCCCAGACGAAAGCTCTCTTAGGGGCACAAAGCTCATATGCCGCCGGGGCACTCCTAACCTTTCCTTTAGAAGCAGCCCACATTTCAGGGTACTGAGGTAAGGCTGATGCCCAAGCCAAGCACGCAGCGCAATTTCCCATGGCGTCATCGCAGAGGGATCCAGTGCACTTGACATTGAGCGACTTTCCCCGTTCAGCAGCCGGGGGGGGGGTAGAGTTTTCCTATGGCCGCAGAGTTTGGGTCAAATTGTCCCTGACAATTTGAGGTAGCCAGGGGCAGAAACATGTTGAGGCGCAAGCTGTTTGTTCATGGGTTCCATCATCAGGAGGAGGTCATTTTTTCAGGCAAAACAACAGAACAAGTCTGTCAGCTTTGTACTGGCATGAGGAGAATCAAGCCCAGGCAACCTCTGATCAGAAGCGACAATCGGTGTCTTTAGCGCGACCTCGGCTTTGCGAGCTGTTGTTCTTTGCGGCAAAGCGGCTGCGCGCCTTTGAAAAAGCGGCACCAAAAAGAAGGAAACCAACCATTCGTGCTCCTATGTCAAGCTTCCGGCAAAGCTTTGAACCCGGCCACAAATCACTTGCCGAGAGGAGCAGCGCATCAAAGACGATGAAGAGCAGGCCACCAACTTCTCGGAGCAGGCGATGCCTGGATTCGGGCAAACCACCGGGCAGTGGGCGGCTGGGGGGTGGAAACGGCTTGGGTGCCGTGTTTTTTCGCTTAGCCGAGCCGCTGCCAGTTGTGTGCCGTACTAAAAATACCCAGGACCAGCGACAGTTGCCTACTTATACGGAAAGCCTGAGGAACATGAGGCGTTTTTAGCCATGCGAATTGCTCACTTGGGCGAAGAGCCAGGCCAGGTGTGGGGTTTCGTTTTGGTTGGGCCATGCTGAGCCCATTTGACCCCAAGATCGATGCATAGAAGGGGACTTCAACAGGAAATGCGGCGGCCCTTGATTCGGTTCAAGCAACCACAAATCCTGAACACGCTCATCAACTTGTGACCTCTTGCTGACTCTTGCTTTTGCACCTGGAGCTCGAAGAAGTGTTTCGCCTCGAATTGCTTGTTGAGAAAATGTAGGTGTTATCGGCCTCGCTGCCTTGAAAATGTTCGAGGTTCACCGGGCACATGTCCAGGCGACCATCTGGTCCCTTGGGTGCATTTTTTCCGGGTGGTGCGTAGTGGGAGCGGCTTGGTTTTGGACTGGGCAGTCCTAGGGATAGGATAACCTGGTGCCCCCAGTGGATCCCGGAAAGCGTAGGCCAGACATGTCCCTTTCGTAGCTTTCGTAGGTGTTTCCCCTGGCTACACAGGCAAATGCACCGATCCATGGCCCAGGAAAATGGAAAGCGCCGCTGTTTCGCCGGGGGTTTTGAGTTTGGCTCAGGTGAAGCGTGATGCAGAGATGCATCAGCAAAAGTTGCAGGAGGCAGATGCCGATGCGTTTAGGGTTCAGATGTTGGTCTGCTTGGCTGGGTCTTGTGAAGGCTTGCATTGGTTTGCATTGGTTTGCATTGGTTTGCATTGGTTTGCTTTGCTTTGATTTGGTTTGTTGTCTTTGGTTTGTTGTCTTTGGTTTGTTTGTTTGTTTGTTTTCGTGTTGGTTGATTGGTTGGCTGGCTGGCTGGGTGGGTGGCTGGGTGGGTTAGTTGGTGCCTTATGCTAGTTTGGGTCAAAAGGCTGGATTGTTCTGTCCCGTTTATTAATTAGCTTAGCCCTGCTTTACAGGGCTTACCGTCAGATGCGCGTCAGCGTGGGCGAATCGTGGTTGCAAAGACCCCGAAACCTATGGGGGACCCTCTGAATGGCATATCTGGGTCATTTGAGTTGAGTCGGGCGTTGGGATATCTTTGCTACGCTCTGGCGTTTTTTGTTTTTTTCTTGTTCATCATGTGCCATTGTTGTTGTTTTGTTTGTGACCCCGAAACTTTAGAGCCTCCGGCTCAGTCCGCCGACATTGTCCTCTCCCTTTTCTCCTTCTTCCTCTCTTCCTTGTCTCCCTTGTGTGTTCTGTCGTCCTCTCTCCCTCCCTCTGCTCCCATCCTCCCCATCCCCCCAAGCCTCTCTCTCCCCAATCTCCCTCTCTCGCATGCATGCATGCATGTACATATGTATGTATGTATGTATGTATGTATGTATGTATGTATGTATGTATGTATGTATGTATGTATGTATGTATGTATGTATGTATGTATGTATGTATGTATGTATGTATGTATGTATGTATGTATGTATGTATGTATGTATGTATGTATGTATGTATGTATGTATGTATGTATGTATGTATGTATGTATGTATGTATGTATAATGTATGTATGT